TCAGTCTCTGAAACATTAATGATAAGTTATTGGGTGCAGATGTACCAAAATGACAAATTAGACTATTTAATTGCAATTTCAAAACTTAATTGCTTTCTCTTATAAAGTTGAATGGTCTATTTGACCCTTTCCTTTTAATATTATATATATATTCTACAATTACGATTTAGATTGTATCACATGTTATTATCATATTATCAATCTATTAGCACTATAACATATAAATGTGTTATTGTTATGTCTTGCGCCCTCAGCTCCTTCCCATCTCGGGCCAACTGATGCATAAATCATGTCAAACCATACATTGGTCTAACCCTAGCAACTCCCACATCGATCAATAGTAACGTACATTATATTATGTACTAACACATGAACATAGTCAGTGTAAGTAGATGACGTGCACATACTATCGAAAAACTGATTGAAACACACATAAATTATCTAAAACTTTGTACTTTAATGATTCAAGTTTGAAATTCTTTATAAGAAATATCTCGTGATAAATTTCTTTCACAGAAGAATGCGATACTTGAAAGTTGAAATGAAAGTTGTGTTCCAATTCATTCCTAAGCTAGTACCTTGTTTCAGTAAGCACACCTGGTTTTGAGGATTGGAAGCTTCTAAAAAAATAGTGAGTGAGGGCCCTTCTTGCCATTTGCCAAGCTTCATCCTTCCTTATCACCAACGTTTGTCTATTGTAACAGATGACCAATCGAGTCAAAATCGGCCAAGTATTGTTTATTAGCATGTTACACTCTTTTCAGTGGCAATTTGATATTTAATATTGAAAGGTGAAAAAATTTTGCAGGGCTATATATACGGTGCCAGCTGTCTAGGGTCACAATTCAAAATTTATCCGTATACACCCGGCCCTCAAATAGTGATGTAAATTTCCTTATCATTCAAAAGTAAAATAAAATTATTGTTTTCCTATTTCCCAACATAAATTAAACCACGATCAATCATTATCCGATTAAAATGTATTACTTTCAATGTAAATGATCACATCAATGATTTATGTTTGGACAGATTAACTTGTTTAGACAGGGACCATCCACTAGGTCTAAACCAGGGACAACCTAAACATGGAGTAGCAACTAACAGCCATGAAAACCATGTTCAATATATATTAATTTCCTCTTTAATCTTTATCAACCAAATATATTACATAACGCTATAAATACGCTCAACATGGTAAAAACCAACCATTATCCGATCCACTTCTTTGTCACAGAACACAAACACCTTTAATTTACACCCTAAGCCTATAATAAATAATCTTGATCTTCTTGTTCTCTGTTACAACTTGGAATTTGGAAATGGGTCTGCAATTTGTGCCATCAAAATGGGTAGGCTTTGTCTTTGCCATCTGGGTTCAGGTCGTTTCTGGCAACAACTACACCTTTTCCAACTACTCCAACGCCCTCAAATCTCTCATGTTTCTTTCCCAGCTTCAACTCAACAACCTCTCCGTCGCCAAAGATGTCGGCAAGGCTTTCGGCCTCCTCCCCGGCCTCGCCTCCGACCGTCTTCCCACGTCTCTTATACTCCTCATAGGTGGAGTCGAAGGCCTCATCGGTTATGGCGTTCAATGGCTTGTCGTTAGCCAGAGAATTCAACCCCTCCCCTATTGGCAGGTAGGTACTTAATTTCTTCTGTTCATTATATAATCACTACTGGAAATTATGAAATTTCCGACCACCTGACAAAGTGACGAAAGCTAAACTTTTGCTGCTATTTTCGATCACTTTTTGGTATTAACTTGATTTAAGATCATTTTTAGGTGGCCGGAAATTTCATAATTTCCAATAGTGAATCCCTATATAAATATAAAATGGAAAATTTGCATTTCTTTTCACAGATGTGTGTGTTTCTGTGCATGGGAGGGAACAGCACGACGTGGATGAACACTGCAGTGTTGGTGACTTGCATGAGGAATTTCAAGAATAACCAAGGTCCAGTTTCTGGGATTTTGAAGGGATATGTGGGTCTCAGCACTGCCATATTCACAGACCTCTGCGCCGCCCTCTTCTCCTCTTCTCCTTCTGCTTTCTTGCTCACTTTAGCCATCGCCCCCGCCGTCGTCTGCCTCATCGCCGCCTTTTTCCTCCGCGAAACGCCGCCCACGGCCGCGGAGGATCCGCGGCAGTCCCAGATATTCCATTTCTTCAACGCCCTTGCCTTCGTAGTTGCTGTGTATCTGTCTGTCTTTGACCTTAGCGGCAGCCACGGCAAATTGGTTTCCTTGGTGTTCGCAATAGGGCTATTAGTCCTGCTAGTTTCGCCATTGGTTGTCCCTGTATACCTCATGGTAGCTAAATCAGGGTCGATTTCAGATCCGGAAGGGCTAACAAAGGAGCCACTTTTGGTCAATGTTAAGGTGGCAGAGGATGATGTTTCTGATGAGGTTAGACTGCGGCCGATGATCGGGGAAGATCATACGATTCGTGAAGCGTTGTTGAGGTTTGATTTCTGGGTTTTGTTTGTGTCGTTTCTTTGCGGAGTGGGCACTGGTCTTTGCGTGTCAAACAACCTAGGACAGATGGGAGCAGCTCTCGGCTATGGCGATGTCTCCATCTTCATATCACTCACTAGCATTTGGGGCTTCTTCGGTCGCATCATTTCCGGCATGGCTTCCGAGCATTTCATCGGGTACGCTAATAACTTTCTTGATTTTGTCCATTTCTGAACCAGAATCGAAAAGATTGTGAATTGTGCAGGAAAGTTGCGATGCCAAGACCAATCTGGAATGCGGTGTCGGGACTCCTGATGATCATCGGCTACGTTGTAATGGCCGTCGGATTTTCCGGTTCCCTCCACATAGGTTCCATGTTGGTCGGAATGTGTTACGGAGCTCGAATCGCGGTCACCGTCCCGGTAACATCTGACTTGTTTGGTCTCAAATGTTACGGTCTGTTGTACAACATCCTCATCCTCAATCTCCCACTGGGTTCTTTCCTGTTCTCCGGCCTCCTCGCCGGCTACTTGTACGACGCCGAGGCTGTCAGCTCCGGCGACGGAGGGAACGATTGCACGGGACCGCATTGTTACCGGCTTGTGTTTGTGATCATGGCCGCCGCCTGCGGTTTTGGGGTTGTGTTGGATATGGTGTTGGTGGTTAGAACGAGGAAAGTGTATAGAAAGATGTTTGAGCGCAAGAAGTTCCAGGCGTTGGCTGCGCCGCCTTCAACCTCCTACGTCAACTGATCGTTTTGAATTTTGTTACAATTCCACGTTATAAAACATTGTAATTTGTATATATTTGTACCGGGAAATTAAAGAACATTGGTGGAACAATTGTATACATGGAGTAACCGTTTGGTTCACGGAATATTAGATTACCCTAGGGAAGGTTAGATTATCTTAGGGAATGTTAAATTACTGAAAATGTTAAATTCATGTGTTATTAGATTACTGTGAATATTAGATTTCTGTATGGGATTAAAATTGAGGTATGTAATATAATGATATTTAGTTTAAGATTATCTTTTACGTAGTTTCATATATTTTAATATCCTTATTAACATATTTTCATATATTTTAATAAATTTAAAAATAAAAATAAATAAATAAGATAACAGTATCATATATGATTTTAGAATATTAACTAAAATCTTGAATTTGAGAAATAAAATTATTTTATATGGCAAAATTTATAAATATCCCGGAGGCCTTTAATTGGTTCGGGTCATCTTAGATTACCTAGGTAATCTGGGTCTAGTAGTGCTATATTACTTTGTTTGGTTCAAGTTATGGAAATATCAGGTAATGTTATATTACTTGAAAGCTGATGTGGCAGTAATGTTTCAAGGTAATGTGATTACCCCCATTTTTTTATTAAGATAATCTTAGATTACCTTGAATTATTCCAACTTTGCCCTTGTTAACGAATTCTTATATAATAATAATAATAATAATAATAATAATAATAATAATAATAATAATAATAATAATAATAATAATGCGTCCGTTTGGTTCATTCATAGATATAAATAAATACACAGACATTATATATATATTACTGAGGACATTATTGTAAATTGATCCATATAACCTAAAATATAACTCTGAACCAAACAAGGTAATATTATATTACACCATCCAAACCAAACACATAAGGTAATTTTACATTCCCAAAATCATTCTATTACCTGGGGTAATTCAAGATTCCGTGAACCAAACACCCCCCAAGGTTATCTTACATTCCCTATTTTGAAGGGAATGTGATTCCCTTTCATTCCCTGGGAATGTTATATTTCCTCAGATAATATGAACCAAACATAGGAATGTAAGCTCTAGAATATTAACAAAAGAGAAGTGCGCAACTCACGTGATTGCAACAAATGTAAACCTCCTCACACCATTTGCAATCCATATCCTTAACGGATCTATCTACATAATTCTTAAATAATTTACAAACTTCTTAACAAAAGAAAAGAGTCAAGTTAGGAATGACTACAATTCACATCAAATCGTTGTGTTCGAATTGAACCGAATACGGTAGAAACGGATCAGAATCGAAATTGAACCATAGACACATATACGTCAAATACACATTCCAACTTTATACGAGAAGTAAAGAATTAGATTATGAACTTTTAAGCATTCAAAAAAAGATTATGAACTTTTAAAAGTTGTAATTAAACACATCACCATGTCATTTTAGTGCATTGAAATATCACGATTGGTGAAGTTGTTAGGGTCTTGACGACATTCCGACTACCTCCTGGGAAATCAGTGATCTGATTGTTAGTTTTCCCCCGGAACATCACCATAACCGTAACATTCTCCGCCTCCATCGAAGAATGCAAGTTTCTTCCGCGGAAGTAACTAGAGTATTGTCAGTACCCTAACAATTTTCTATAACGGGTCACTAACCAATTTTGAGTTACGATGCACTAAAACACATGTTAATATACTTAATTGCACCTTTTAAAAGTTCAATAGCTTAATTAAAAGTTGGAGAGTGTGTTTCACCATTCTTTAATCTGAAATTCGTCTTAAACCCTAATTTCCTAATTTCACTTTTCCTTTTTTTTTTTTTTTTTTCTTTCTAATTCTCAATTTCGTAGATGGATGATGAAATGTTGAATTGAGCGTGCGCTCCAGTTAGATTGCTTCGAAAATGGCTGCTGCGCTTGACAATCGAGCACAGGTAGGTAAGCATTCTAGAGTAAAGGAGTCGAATTTTGTCGAACTGAAGTCGAGGATCTTTACGTTGCATTTTATTATTATTATTTTGGAGATTCAAGTCCTAACAGAAATGGAGGATCAAATTTGAGTTGAAATAAATAATACTAATAATAATAAAGCTTGAATTTGATCTGAACAAGTTTTATTGTCCTGTTGGCATAGCCGATTTTGGCGTGCTTTGATGCTTTGGAATGTGATAATGTTGCCGGGACCAGTATGACTTGATGTTGAAGATGAAGCATTTCTTGATGATGAGGATCAAGGTTCATTTACTTCTAATTCTGTTTTTCAGTAGCTGAGCTTGAGCAAATTAAATGCTAAGCATTTATCCTGTTCTCTTTAAATCCTTTTGTATCTCTTGCATTTATATTTCATCTTGCAATGGTTTTTATTTGAGTGATGCTTCACTCTGTTATATTATTTTGGTCCAATATTGATCTATATCATATCATTTTTTCAGTATATAAACACTCGAGCCAAGGCTCTTGAGAACACGAGAGTTCCAAAAACACTCGAGCTCTTGCATGAGGTCTGGATTTCTAGGGCTAGGAGATAATTTACTTTGGCACAATGATTGGTCTTTTTTTATTCTAAATTTGTAATTCATTATAAATTTGTATTTGGATAAGGTTTGGGCATTTTATGCTTTTTAATTGACAAACCGAGAGTCCTTGCCTCCCAACGTCCATTCCTACTTGAGGGTTGAGATCATCCATAGGATCTCCTAGCTCCACCTCTAGTCATCATTTCTTCGATGTTTGTGGATTCTCTGCTAACTATACATGTGTACAGTGTTGGATGTGCTTCTAAATTCAATCCAGTGCCAGACTGTCCACAATGATACCCAGTGCTTGAAGTATGTTGCCTGATCAGAAGGAGCCTCAAACACATTTAGTCACTTTTTTCTTGTTTAAATCACAGATTCCTTGGAACACGTCATTCTTGGACAGAGTTCATATTTTTCAATGAACTTATTCCAAATTTCCAAGTAAATCTGACATAATGACTGGGATTTTTGAACATATTTTCAGTATTTGAAGTGACACTGCTTGTGCAAGAAACTCCTCAAGTTTTGATGTCAGGATCTTCTCTTACTTCCGATGAATATTTATACGTGTGTGGACCTTCTTATCAGATTTACCAGAGGAGGCTATATGATCAAGTCCCACTTGTCATCTGTTCATCTGTACAAACGGTATGTTTCTGACCCTTCAAATATTTATTTAGACATGGTGAATGGAAAGCCTTTTGAAACACAAGTTCTCCTGATATGGAAGAAATCAAGAAAATAGCCGATGAATGACCCCATATAGTTATTCAAACTTGAGCTTATCTATTATGTCTCTTTCTGTTAATTAGAGGTCATGAAACATATGATGTGCTGCAAAGAATTGTAAAATGACAATCTAAGGAAAAGGATAGTTGCAATATGTTTTGTGAAGTCATGGTAGCGGCTGTGAGTTTCCGAATGTTCTTGTCCTTATCCACCATCTTGGTCTGATAAAAGAGCTCTATCACTAAAGTGGCTCACAAATGCACATGAACTAGAAATGGGTGCTGATGGAAGAGAGAAAAGTTTGATGATAATGATGAATAACTTTATCCTATCATTGCATTATCTGCAGGAATTGGAATAGGAATAGCAACTTGACCCTTTGTAGATTACCTTGGCTTTCCTCTTTATGCATGTCCGACTTCTTTATCCAGTGCACAGTCACATAGTAGTAATAGTGCTATGAATAAAACAAGAAATAGATTCAATAACAGCTAGACTAGAGTCCAATATCATTACAGGATACCATATGTTATGGTATCAAAAAGTAGGCACCATGCAAAAAAAAGTGCATGAGTCTTAGCGTCTTTAGAGCTTATTATCTCATACTAAAAGTAAAGCGGGCATTGATCATCATCTTGTAATCATCCTTGTTATGGAATATAGAATATATATTTGATATATATAGAATCCCTATAGATTAGACAGTCTTAGGGATTTAGGAAGGTAGGGTATATGGAAACTTGTTTTCTAACACCTATTTATAGGGCTTTGTATGTCTTTTCTAGAATGACAGTTTGAGACAATATATGACAGCACATTAGAAACCCTCCCTCTCTTTACTTTCGTAACAATCCTCAAAGGCAAAACCGCAAAACAAGATTAATTTTTCTTCTTTGCAGGAGTCAAACATTGCAAGTCAATGGAGTGTTCCTTTTTAGAAGCAGCACATGCAACTTTCTCCCACAGATAAACTTGTAGAGATAAAGATATGTTCTCTGAGTTGAAGGTATTTGTCATTTTCATTCCCTTCTCCTGTGTTCAATTCGAGTCAGGTAAATATTCATATTTCATCTATCTTCTTTAATTTCATCCATAATGCACAGTTTGGTACACTAACACTAGTATTTCTTCTATTAGGTAGGATTGCATTCTCATTTTCCATTCTCTGGTCTCTTTCTTCTTACAACTACAAATTGACATTAACGTAAATGCTCACCCACGACAACTGTAACTATCCTTAACTCATTTAGCGTACACCTATATAGTATTATTTGTCATAGTTGAAATATATGCCACCCATTTTTATTTTTTTGGTTATTATTTTGTCTGTTCTTCTCAATCTGGGTAGACAGTTTGAATCACAAGATAAATTATATTAATGAATACTCCGTATCATATCCTGGTTAAATTAAGCTTATGAAGCGGCAGGCAAATTTACACCTTATAAAGCTAATAAAGAAGTGAAAAAAAAATGTAAAATTGCAAAAAAAAAAAAATTGATACCTTAATGAGAAAACATGGACCACATTTTATTTATATTACAAAGATTTGCGATCCCAATCATAAAATTTAGAAATAGAATTATGTCAGCTTCAACCCTTTTGATCTCTGCTCCTAGACGACGACACTTTCTTTTAACCTTAAAAAATCAGAAGCACATGGACCTCAACTCAAACTGTTGCAGGTTTTCACAGAACTCCAAACTGGTCTGTTTGGGTCACATGCAAAAGCCGCATATTCCTTCAGGGTGCAAGGAGAGCTGGACACAACAGGCACGTGTAGGGCTGCGATTCGATCCAAAATCAGACCCTAGAGATTCTTTCTATGATAAAAGCCAAGGGTCAGTGCAATTGCTTTAATTGAAAAACGGCTGCTAAAACGGTGACGAAAACGGCAAAGAACGGCGGCAATGGGGTGTCGGCGGCGTTGGTGGCCAATGATACACCGGCGGTGGCGGCACCGGAGTTTGGGCCTCCGGATGACTTCTGGCTGCATTAACAATGACCAATCAAGAGAAGCATTAACAACATAATTAATGCAATATAATAAGGGCTAGATGAGATCGTAAGCAAATATATTATTATATACTAAGATATGGTGTCAAGTAGGAGAAATGGTTACAAGGTCGGTGCCTCTTTCTGTTACGATACAGACAAGTTAAATAAATATTTATTTGTAAATAGAAGGGTGGTGGAAACGTGAGATGCATATGTAATATGAGACATGAAATGAAACCGACCCAGTTTTTGTGACGAATAATATGGTTATCATTGCGTTACAAGATGGCGATACACTACAAATCACATGCCATTGTAAAACTACAATCTCAATAATATATTTAATTGTATCAAATAAAGGTGATCATGCGATCATGTGAGTAAAAATATTATAAAAAAATGACATTTCTTTTTTGAATTATTAAAAAAATAATAATTTTCATCCTTCAATTACTCATATTATTAGTTTTAAAATGAACAAAAAATAACATTTATAATAATAAAAAAAACAATAAAATTGTCATTTAAAAAAATTATCAGATTTTGGTACTGAGAGAGTAAATTGTTTACCTGGTGGACGGAAAAGGGCAGAAAGTGATGACGTAATCCGCGGCGGCGCAGGTGAAGGTGCTGGTACCATCGTCGTAAGCGTAGCTGTAAGCGCGTGGGCAAGCAGCCTTGAAATACTGCGAGTAAGAGCTGGGCTTGCAGGTGTCCGGAGTCGCGTATTCTCCACTGCAGCAGTATTTCGGGTCGCCGAACGCCTCGCACGCGCTCCTACACGCCACGCACTCGCCGCTGGCGCCGGCGGCGACGGCACCGCCGCCGCTCATCATCTTCAGCTCCGCCGGGCACCCGCCGTTGAGGTCGCTCATGCATCCGGTGGTCGTACAGTTCCCCGCCCCGGTCCCACCCTGTGGGGCCACCAGCATGGGTAAGTTGTAACCGTCAACCAAACTCACGTCGTAAAAATCCAATCCCCCCGCGCCGTTGAGCGTGAACTCCGCCAACGTAGCCGGCGGCGCGGCTCCCCCGCCGGAACATTCCACGGTCCCGGAGCCGCAGTCCCCGGTGACGCAGGCGAACTTCCCGGTGACAGAATCCTGAGAGCACTGCGTCCGGCCCCACAACCGGCCGGACCAAGCCGCGGGAAAAGAAACCGGAACCGACTGACCCGGGTCCAGAGAAAACCCGGTTGGAGAAACCTGAGCCGTCCCGGCGCCGGACAGAATCCCAGGCCAAACACTATAACTACACTGATTAACTAGCGTAAATGTGGCGGAAAACACGCCGGAAAACGAAAGAACAGAGCACAAATACAGAAGAGGAAGAGAAATCAGAAGCTTTGCCATTGGTGTATGAATGAATCTGGAAAAACGTGAAAGAAGACGAATCTGTATGTATATTTCAAGAGAATAATATATATATATGGATGAATCACGTGAATATATGAGCAATGAATTGATGAATATGTATATATTTATAGAGATAGAGGGAGAGAGAAAAACACCGACTCGAACAAGGTCGGTGGGTGTGTGTCAGGTATGGAGGGAGAGAAATAAGGAAGAAAGGAGTTGATATTAGGAAAGATTAATAATGCTAATTAGCTTTAAGGTGGTTCGTTAATGTCTTCAGTTTTCGACAATGTCCAAGGAAGCTGGCGAGTGGGATTATATAGACATCATCAAATATTACTATTTATTTTTGGAGGCTCAAATATGTACTTCAAGTTGTAATTAAATCATTAAATTAAAATAAAATAAAAAGACATTTAATTTTTTTTAATGCTACTGACTTTATTACATTGTAGTATCTGTTCAAATATACTTTCTCAACCTAATGAAGCACAAAGAATCAATAACGCCTCCATCGAGGCTCGATCTCATGACCTTCGACATAAGCGAGGTCACTACATGTCATCTGAGTACAATGTGCTTGGCAAAAAGACATTTAATTAGACCTATAAATTTATTAAATTTTTACAATAAATATATTTAATAGGTTACCAAAAATATTTGGTCAAAATATCTAACAAGTGTAAATATTAAATATTTATATTTATGAAATTAAAAATAGTGGGTGAAGATGGCAGAGGGCAGAAGGGGCTCTTGGGAAGAACGAAGGGTAATGGGCAGGGGAGGTGGGGTCCATATAATTAAACCCTTGTGCATTGGCAAGTTGAACCCTCGTGCAATGTAGCTCACCCTCAGCTACAGCCTGCCGCCTCGCAAACATACATACATATTACTTAGATTCTCTTTGTTTTTTAGTAGATTCTCATTTTATAACATTAAAATAAAAAATTTACTGGATGGTCACATACCAAATTGATTGCCAATGGCGGCCCAATTCAAGTCTAGCTGCTCTAATGGGCAAATTATGCTGTGCATCCGTATGCACCATGCATGGTGCATACGGATGCAAAAATGACGTCATTTTATTAAAAACGTGCGTTTCCCCTTAAAAAAAAAAATTCATGTTCGAATCACAGCAACAACATATGAACTAAAATTTCAGAATCGATGAACTATAATTCCATAATCGATGAACTATAATTCAATAATCTAACCTATGAACTAAAAATTTCAGAATGAATAAACTAAAATTCCAGAATCGATGAACTATAATTCCATAATCAATGAACTAAAATTCCAGAATGGATGAACAACATAATGCTGTTGCTGAGAATCCAACCTGAATTCTTTTTTTTAAGGGGCGACGCTCGTTTTTAATAAAACGACGTCGTTTTTGCATCCGTATGCACCATGCGTATGCACCATGCATGGTGCATACGGATGCACAGCATAACTACTCGCTCTAATGTGGTCCTCAAAAACAGAACACAATCAAAAAGTAGATTCCTCCAATACGCAAAGTCTGTTTGATTGAGCTTATAGCTTATTTTAAATTACTAATAAGATATAAATTTTATTTGATAATGTTTTTAAAATAAGCTTGTAGTTTAAAATAAAAACTTATTTTGAAAGATTCAAAATAAGTTAGTAGTTTTCTAACTTTTTTTCTATCTTTATCCTTATTATTTTAAAGAAATGACACTTTTTTCTATCTTTATCCTTATTATTTTAAAGAAATGACATCATTTATCTTTCTCAATTAAAATTATTATCTCTTCTTCCCGCAACTTTCACCACAATTATTATTATTATTATTATTATTATTATTATTATTATTATTATTATTATTATTATTATTATTATAAGATGAAGGAGATTCACAATAATATTGCTATTTCATTATGAGATGCTAGATCATGATTATGTTAATAATTTTATTTCAAAATGTTAACTTTAAAAAAAAAATAGAATATTAAATTTTAATATGTTGACAAACTAATTCAAATTTTATAAAGATATTTTTTTTTATTTTTACATTTATCGGCTTATCAAAAAAGATAATTTTACCAAATACTTTCAAGCATAACAGCTCCTCAGTTTTCAGCTCCTTTTGAGCTTTCAACTACCTTTTCAACTAAGTTTGCCAAATATAGCCGCAATTGAAGAACTAAATTCATGTTTTTAGTACCTATTTATATTTAAAAGTTTACCTTTTTAATTTAATTACAATTTATTTTCATGCAGAAGTGACGATTTTAATCATTCAGGAACACTATTTCTATCATTAAGCTGTCACTTAATAAAGTGGCTTATTTGATTCTTCAAGACTAACAACGTGAAAATATGCCTAAAGTCCCCTTATGCACACCGATATTTAACTATGTATACTAAATTACCATAATTTACATCTTTCCAAATACTTTGTCGGACCCTACTAAGCTATTTTTTTTCATGTGGGTTTGAATATAAGTGTCTACATCAAGATTTTGTGTATAGAAATACAAGTTAGGAGTACAAAATGGAAGTACATATAACATTTTCCATGTCGCAAAAGGCAATAAAGTTTGTGAAATTGTTGTTGATTCGACAAGGTAATAACTAGATAATTACTACTCCGTACATGATTAGGGTAATTGCCTAGCTAAAATAGGACATTTAGTGTGGATTTCAAGGCATTCCTAAAACCTAAATCCTCTGCAACTTGCTTTAATGAATTAATTAATGAAGATATAGTACAACATTGGTAGTAGAAATTAAAAAACAGCATTCAAGTGGTGGAGGGATCTATTAGACATTGTTAGGGTTTGACCCACTAATGACCATTGCTTACTTAAAGAGCAAAAAGAAAAGTGATTCTAATTCCCTTTTAATATGTATGATTCTCCCCTGCATACATCAATTCTTCCATTCTCCATCTCGAATAATCAACACAAACGCATACCATTCAATTTCTGAGTGGGTATTACATAACATGTGCACTTTAAGTTCATCCCACTTTTTATTCTAAACCTTGAATTTCTCATCTTCTTAGGTATAACCCCTCCCCTTTTCATTCTATCCAATCCAATATGATTCAAAATGATCCCTCGAATATACAAAATTTACTCAATTGAATAATAGTAATAGGATTCAAAACGAATACAAAATTTACTCAATTCAGTAATAATTGAAGAAACATTTCAGGTGAATTGAGTTAAAAGGTAATTTTAAAGGTAATAACAACAAATAAATACAAAACCTGCTAAAGTCTCTTATCTTTAGTTTTTTTTTTTTTTTTTTTTCCAGAAATCTGTAACTTCTAAAGCCCTTTCTTCAGGCTTTTTAAAGAAATCTCCTAAATTGAAGTTTACTAAAGGTTCTACATAACATGAAACCACTTTTCAAGGAAAAAACAGCAGGCTTTACTCATTCTAGTGATCAGGGAAAACACAAGCAGGCCCATCTTAGAGACTTAGACACTCCCCAAAGGACAAATATTATTTACCAGAAGAAAAAAGTAAAACTAACATGGTTGTTTGTGTTCATACTCTGGGTTAACTTTGATTTAAGTTAGCCTTGCAGTACTAAACATGTAGACAAGTTAGCCTGGTCAATGTCAATTCACCAGCCACAACCCAAGTTCACATACCTGCCATATCCCCCCTTTTCAATGCCAAAAGTTCGTAGATGCATTCAATTATGCAAAAGTGTGTTCTTTAAGGCAATTTAAATTTTTGGATTAGAATGCAATGAACCAGGATGCACAGAATACCACTAGTTTTCATTATAAATATTTGAAGCTTGAATACTTTAAACAAAAAACTTTGCATATGAATCAAAGCAGAGATGGGAGCATAGTTTCTATAAATGGACCCTTTCAAAAAACTTGAAATTGGTTGATATCAAAACATAGATAAAAATAGGCCCTTTAGGGGTTTGCAATAACAGCTTGACACTACTGGAAGAAGTGAATTTGGTATTGCTTTCAGAAATAGAAATATCTGTCACAAATAATAATAATAATAATAATAACAAACGGAGCCAATTCAAATAGTAGCTACCCCAAGTCGCTCCTCCCAATAGCCCAGACAAAAAGCCTTGCAAAGAAGGCTTCATAACATTCTAACTCCAGGTCTTTTATCCACTCAAGCAAGTCAGGGGCAGGGTTAGGCAATGAACTTGTGAGTGAAGGAGACACTAAGAAGGAATCCAAGTTGTGACTTTGATAACTCACTACTCTTGGGTAGCTATGTTGAGTAGCTACTTGGAGCCTATACTATGAGTAAAAGCTAAAATGAAACACTATAAACTGTAATAACATTAAAATCACTATTTCAATCCTTAGAATTGGAACCAGACAGGGTACATAACCAGAAACTACTTCCAAACCAAAAAAAAAAAAAAAAAAAAAAAACATAGTATAACTTCAGAATGATGCTTTAACTACCCAACCCAACACTATTAACACTCCAAATTAGACCATTCATATCATAAAAGGGATAGTACTTGCCTCAAATAGTATACAACACCTTATACATGATAAGAAAGTTCAGACCTTTCCTACATGATGCATATACCCCTATAACAATATGACACAACTTATCACCAATCTTCTATTCATATGATTTGAGGTTTTACATTGCCACCAAACATACCCATGTGAATGCCACCCTATTCAAAACATCATATTAAAGATGTTTTATGTTGCCATCAAATATACCCAAGCAAATGCAGCCCCTATTGAAAACACCATATTAAAGCAAACCACTATTGTAGCATTGTGCAGAATGACAAATGAGACAACAATACAAGGTAGAGAATTGAGAGTTGAGTGTGTCATCCTATCAAGTCTAATGTGCTATGCTAAGCTCACGAACCATTAAGAGCAAATACATATACACAGAACACATTCAGTTGTATATTAATCTACACGAAAAGCATTCTTTGACAAGATAGCAGAACATGAAGCAAAGCAAAAACAGACAGCAATATTTCTGATAAGCCACTTATGAAAAAGAAGATTCTGAAAAGCCAATAACTGATGTTTATAACCAACCAAAAGGGTTGGGAAACAAACGGGAAAAAATATTATGTTCAAAATATTCGGAGGAAGATGATAGAAAAGAGATGACCAGATAAAATTAGTCTTTGTTGGAGCACTCTCTAGCAAAGTGTCCTGGTTCGCCACAGTGGTAGCACTTGTTTGCCCCGCCACCGCCAAACCTCCCATAACCGTCGCCGCCTCCACGGCCGCCGCCATTCTCGCTGGGACAGTCCCGAGCCATGTGGCCTCGTTCGCCGCACTTGAAACAATTTCCACCACCGCTTCCACGATTGCCACCGCCACTTGGACAATCCCTCGCCATGTGACCGTATCCACCACACGTGTAGCAACCGCCGCCACCTCCGCCTCCGCCGCCGCCGCTATTCCGGTCGCAGTCCCTGGCTAAATGTCCAGTCCGCCCACAATTATAACACTCCCCGCCTCCTCCGCCGCCACCGCCTCTGTATCCATTCCCGTTCCTCCGATTATAACCATCACCGCCACCGTTTCCGAAGCCGAAACCACCGCGGCTATTCCCCCTGCCACCCCCGCCGCCACGGCTATCCTCAATCAGCGCGCCATTAGGTCCGGTCACATCAATGGCCTGAAACCTATCCCCCTTCTTGATTACATCAAACTCCACCTCCTGGCCTTCGTGCAGCGTCCGATAGCCCTCCGATTTGATTGCCGTCTGATGCACAAAGAGCTGTTCGCCCTCAGCCTCGCCCTCGCCCTCGCCTTCCGGCTTGATGAATCCATACCCCTTCTGGTTACTGAACATCACCACCGTCCCTCTCATCCTCGTCACTTCCACAGCCATTGATCAACAGATCAACCACAACCCTCAAAACCCTAATAGCTGTGCGCGTGCTTCTGTTTGTGTATGTATCTGTATGTACACTCGGGGCGAATATATAGACGGCTGATCCAAACCCTAATATGGGCCTCTTTTTTTTTTTTTTTTTTTTTTTGGCCCCTTTTTCTAAAATAACATTCCCCCCTAAATTAAATTCCTTTACGCATTATTCTTTAAATTAATTAATTACCAACAAAACTCACAATCTTATTCAAACTACTACTAATAATAAATCTCTAACTTAAATAAATAATATTCCATATTTGCATCAGTCTAATTGACTCAAGATGTTTATTCATAAAGAAATATTTTGAAGTATTAATCAACATTGGTGTTGTATTATATTTGGCATAAACATTATCAGCACTTAGCATGAATGTCAACAATATTATATAAAATCAATAATACTTGTGTAATTATATTAGGTACAATACTATATTGCTTATTATATAAAAAATAAATTTTACTTTTTTTTTTCCAGTTCTGAATCGTAACAAGAACCATCCCTATTATTTCAATTCGATTGTTATTGTGTCCGGTTCGGTTCAAATCAAACTGTAATCATCTCTACATATAAGCAATAATTCGCTGGAGAAGAAAAATATTTGAAATAATTGTAACTCTAATTGTTTTAAGGGTATGAATGTCCATTTAAAGAGAAAAGCTGTAACTTTTAAAATAATTGAGGTATTAAATGTGGATACATAAATAACTCAATGGAAAAGGTGCTATAAGCCTATAATTCAGGAGAAAAAATGTCATTTTTCCAATCTATATATTGTCCCAACATATAATTTCTCCCCCTCTCACGTAAAAATTTTTTAAATTGAATGATAAATTATAGAAATTTGGACGTATTATTAATTGTGACAAACAAATAAAAGTTGAAGATGTAATAATAAAATAAAATTCAAGGAGTACAATTAACTATGACAACGTCATAATAATCTATGACTAAAAGTATGAAATTTGCTCAATGAAAAAGTTGAGTTATGAATAGTTTAAAATATTAAAAGTAAAAATATTTAAAATATATATGTTGTAAAATTTTATATATCATTATACTAGTGTAAAAGGATAATTCTCATATGCTCTATAGATAATTAATGGTAATATTCTAATTATATATGCATATATACATCAACCCAAGTAGTATATGAGGAGATGTGATTCTCATGAATGTTACAAAAAACATATTAAAAATAAAATTTGAGAATCTCAATACCCTTCCAATCAAACGAACTAACAAAGGGAATTTCATATTACTATAGTCTTTAATACAATACTCATGTTTCATTCACTTAATTGTCCCTTTTAAGTTATGCATAATTTAGATCATTTAAAGGTTTATTTAGCCTTTCCCTTTTCAATAATCAATGTGTAACAATTTGAAAGTGACTCCATTATATTTATATACAAAACTCATGCTTGAATATAATATTATCAAAATTTTAATTAAAACATAAAATTAACATGTTATATTTTAAAATTTTCAAATACAATATGTAAATGTGATGTCATCGAACCACAACCTATTTTACTTTTTTCACCATTTATATACTTCCTCAATTAGCCAAGCACCTTGTGCTCAGATGGCATGTAGTGACCTCTCCCATGTGGGAAGTCATGAGATTGAGCCTCAGTGGAGGCGTTGTTGACTCTTTGTGCTTATTAGGTTGAGAAAGTATATTTGAACAGATACTACAATGTAATAGAGTCAGTAGCATTCAAAAAATATATATATATACTTCCTCAATTATAGATGATAAATAATTTGGTAAGTTTTTTTTTTAAAAAAGAAATTGAAGGTAAGTTTTAAAAAGTAAACACATTACTATTAGAGTTTAGATTACATGGAGTTCATATACAAAACTAGCATAGAACTTGTATTATCCCACCATGTTATCAAACTTATCATATAAATATACACTTAGTCTACAAATCAAATAACTTCATATTTATTAAGAAGTGTATACAAAAATTTTAATTATAAAGAACTAAAATTCGCATAAAAATGGAAGCTCCTTCAAGATCTAGAATTGAAGAAAATGGGAAAAAATTTAAAGAAAATAAATTACAAAAAAAAAAAAAAAAAAAAAAAAAGTTACCTATCTACATGAATTCGGAGAAAACCATCCAGGTAAGAGTTGGGTGGAGTTTTGTACAAGAAAGCCCAAAAAGAACATTATTGCTCGCCTTTCTTCAACTGCTTCTTGTATTCAAACCAGCCAATACCTAAGAATTGAATATGAGAACGATGAATTTATATGCGTTTTTGAGCATATATGAAACGTGAAGGGAAAATGGTGTTAGAATGTCGACATATTGTTACCATCTTTAGCAGCTAGTGAAGTCATAATGTCCAAGAAAAGCCACGCCAAACCATTGAACTACACCACCCAATTCAAAAACCCAGTCAATTAAAACTTAGGAAACTGACAATCACTCCTCTAAATGTATACCGAGTAAATTCAATTTTGTGGCTTTAACTAACAAAAGACCGAAGGTAAATCTAGCATTATAATCTTAACTAACAAAGAATAGGAGGTAAAACAGTCTTGAGTTGCCATAATTGATCCAATCTGGGTGGGTTACCATAGTTGACCGATTTAAATCACAATAGTCAGCTTTCATAACTAGGCCAATAGCCAACTCTTACGGGGAGTTAAACTTGTAATATTGTGGTTATCAAGTCTACAACTTGACTGGGAGTGTTGATACTGAGGATGGTAAACTAAGGAAAAACATTAATGTTTGTGCAACTACCTTGTAATCTTCATGCTTCTCGAAGAACATTTTCCACAAGAAACTGCGGAAAGGGGCAATCCCAGTTCCAGTAGCAAGCTACAAACACACAAAAAATTCCAAATTTAAGGCAACAACACTAAGGAAAACCATGAATATAATATATGCTTTTTGACTTGATCATATATATATACCATTATGATAGTGGCATTGGGATCCTTGGGCATCAGCATTATTTCCTTGCCAACAGACCCAGTAATCTTCACTTCTGCTCCAGGTTTCTCAAGCTACATGGCTGCACAATCCACACCAGAAACTACTCCTTTTCTGCCATAAAATAAGTGAATTCATCTCTGGTGTACGTGTAAAGATTTAAGGGTCCATGAATATTAATGTAATGGTTCTTATACAAGAAGTTTGAGCAAACTCCTTTAACGATTTCGCCTTTGTCATTCGTGTAGACAAGCCTTTTGAGTTTTGACACAAAGGGAAACCTGCGTGCACACCTTAAACATGAACCACTTCCATTTACAGGAAACTAATTAATTAAAGAGCAGACTTGAAACAAAAATCTTATGTCGATTGCATATCAGCAAGCTATATATAGTGAATATCGATCACATTAAATGGGAACAAATTAAATATACTATAATTAAACATGCAAGATCCTAGAATCCGTGTAACTTAATACCCATCAAATTAAATGATCCACAGAGATAATCTCGAATTATATATGTTAAGAAGAGAATTTACAGCATACAGTTTTGGAGTCTCCAATGGCACTTCTAGCAATGGAGTACAACCTCAGCTTGTAAGGCTTCCCATTAGCATCAACTCCAATAGATTCTCCTTCTCTATATGGAACCTCCCCTAAATATAAAATACCCCAAACATATACATTAATCAAAGCTTAATGCCAACAGCCTTTTTTTTTTTTTGGATGACCAGAGAAACCCGCAACCACTACCCTAGCTAGAGCGTGCACTGGGTAAATCTCATCTTGTGACCTTAGTTGTTAAAGGACCACAAGAAAGTAAACCAACCTAGCTGACCAACTCTCAAACCAAGAAGGCCAAGTCGAACTTGTAACATTGTGGTTACACGTTAAAAACAAGGAAAGTGTATGGGCAACTTTAGTGTTCTTGCAGTGTCCAGATGTTAAAATTTTCATTTGCATTTCATCATAAGAATCAAGAATGGGGACTTGTTGTGCTCCAGCGAACAAAGGTGCTTTGGAACCTAGTTCCTCTCTATGCTGTTGATTGAGGAATCTTAAATGGAACAAAATGTACTCCTGTCTTGGGGTCAGATTCTTGTTTATTTTCTTACATGGCTTCCACTTGCTGAATTACTGCAGGAGAAGGTGTGAAAGATGTAAAAAAAAGTATTACATCACAATCTCGAGAGTGCTATTGCTGTTAGCTGGAGCCTTGGTGGAGGAGATTATCACTTTTTTTTGGATTGGTCAATCTGTATCCCAAGTACACGGTGAAAGATGTAGTTAGTAGGGCATCCTATACCCTCTCTCGATTTTTGTTTTTTGTTTTTTGTTTTTGTTTTTGTTTTTGTTTAGTAGATTTTCAGGTTTGAACTGCTAAACAACCATTGACTGCATTAAGTATTGGCTTACAGAACAAAAGATTGCCTGTTTGTTTAATGCCTATTTTAATCAGAACAATGAAAGTGAGAATATTGAGAGGATAGAATGCACAAAACAGAAGTGGCCAACATGTATACATGGATATCAAAGCCCAGACTGGCCAAAGAATAAAAAAAAAAAAAAAACAGCTAAGATTCTATACACTGCATAGTAAAATGACAATCCAAAAAAAGAAAAGAAAAGAGAACTTGTAAAAGAGAGGCCTAAGCCTCATTTGCATCCTGAATCTGTTCTTCACTAGTCATTACAAAAAGGACAATCATTTCTAACCAACACCTTTCTTTAACTAAACAATCACCAACCAGAATGCCATTGTTTAATGCCCATATGGTTTATGTTTAGTCTATATTTGACTTTGTGATGCTGGATTTCATTCCTTTCCCGTGTGATGGAATTAATTAACCCCGGTAGCCCGAATTAACCAATATCAATAATAAAGGAACAAATGATAATGGCAAAGTATCTTAATGTCATTATAATGTAGGTGATGATGTCCTAACAAGACAATGGGATAATATATACTAAATTCATCCGTAACTGTCCATGAGAAATGGGTGGGCAGTTAGTGCACTTTGACCATGTCCGCCTACTTCACCACACTCGGCGCCGAGGGCGAGGCCGAAGCCAAGCATGGCGCTTGGCCTCGGAAGTTGGTTTGGGTTGCCTTGCTCTGCCTCCTCAAGTCGGTTTGCTCCCAACCCGCTCTCAATATATCCATTAGTGTGTATTGAGCCACAAACCCTTCAAAAACGTTGATTATGTCTCATATAAGGAATGGAGCAGGCCTATGGAATCATCATCACAATTAATAAAAGAATAGTTTTGCTCCCGTGGACATAGGCACATTGCCAAACCACGTAATTCTTGTATTCTTTACTTTCTGACATTGTTATTTTCTTATTCTCGTTAATCTCAACAAGAAACAACATAGTTTGACAGAACCAATCAGAATATAATCCAGGCTGGGAAGCTGAAAGGTTCAGCCTTTCCACCAAATAGAATGTCTTTCTTGTTTTCTGTGGGGATAATAGGAATGGGAACACTTGTTGCAAAAGGTGTGTGACAAAATACCATTGCCTTTTATTCAAAGCTTTCTTGCTGTGTCCAATACACAACATTGGGTCTAAAGAACTTTCATTTTCTGCTGAATTCTTGGCACTAAACATGTGACTTCTTCTTCCAAGTTTCCAAAACTGAAAAGGCATGTTTCCCTTTGCCTCAAAGATTGAATGGTACATGATCTCCAAACATACAAATTCTAAAATTTCAAGTAACAATAGTTGGTAATCAATTGTGACTTTTTTTTTTTTTTTGGTTTTGTTTAAATCGTGCTACAGAAAAGGACCTATCTTATATACACTCCATAAAACAAACAAATTGAAAAAATTAATCAAGGGAGAAGTTTTTACAATACCATAGAATTTCTTCACTTTGGTAAATTCAGTGGAATCCCCTTGACCCTCTGGATTGATAGAGTTCCAACCGGCTTTTGGCTTCGAGTAACAACGTCTCGACCATCTCATCGTGGCAGAGGTTTGCCTGCTTCGATGCCCATTCGAGCACTGTCAGCACCTCGGCTTGTGCAAGATCCTCGCTATCGGGGACGTGCATTGCAATGTTGCATAGCAGAACGAGTGCCGAGCTCTGAACTAGCTGCTCTCCAAAGTACACGAGCTGAACCAGGTGTTTTGCGCCGCCAGCGCCTATGATCGCCTTGGAGTGATCGAGGCGGAGATAATTATCGCTGCAGGCGAACTTAGTTAGAGCAATGGCGGCTTCTTTAGACACCTCTGCTTCTCGCTCATCGAGCAGAGTTACTAATGGACTTATCATCCTCGTCTCGGTTGCTCGAAAGGTCCTAGCCAAATTCCCAATGGAGATTATACATGGCATGAGGAGATCGGAGTCTGCTTTCTCGATGATCCTGAGTAGCTGATCAACGACCGCTTTGCAGGCGGGGGAATTGGGCTTGAACGCAGACCTCCTCAAGTCGGGATCCTGCTCGGCCACAGCGGTGATCTCCATCACCGCCATAGCTGAATTATACTGCACGTCTTCAGGTCCTTTCTCGAGAAGAACCGCAAAGCAGAGGAGAGCTCGGGATTCAGTAATGCTTCGGCAAATCGAGGAATTCCCTTTAGCAAGATGCCAAAGGGCTCTTGCAGACATTGCCTTCATGTAAGCCTTGGTAGCAGGGTCTTCAAATTCCCTTCCTTTTTGACTAAACCCTAAACCAGCAGAAAGACTATGCTGGTGCTGATGATTAACATTAACATTAACCCCATTTGTGGGGTTCTTTGTTTGAGCTCTCATTGCCATTGTGGTCTCAATCACATTCTGGAAATTGCTGGCTTTCTTGTTCCCAAGAGGATTGGTAATTTTCTTCATTTCATCATCCTCATGAACCTTCAGATTAGGATTGACATTTGTGGTTTTATTGCTGGCTAAAACCACAGCGTGGATTGAAGTGGTTTTGCTAACAATGGCGTATTTGCTGTGTTCCTGGACGGTCTCGAAGGCCAAATGGCTAACGAGTAACCGGATTACGTTGTTCTGGGCGAAGAGGTCTTGGGATTTTGGGTAATGGGAAGCGAGCTCCGACACGGCCCAGGCCACCACCGCCTGTACTTTCATCGGACCTTCTTTGAGAATTTTCGCAAACACCTGGCAGGCGCCGGACACGATCATGTGTTCGACGCTTTCCTCGTCGCGGCCGAGTAGCCCGATGGCTCTCGCCGCGTTTTCTTGGCCTTCCGGCTTGCCTTCCTTCAAGAGCTTTAAGAGTGGCCCGACTCCGCCTTCCTCGATGATGAGCTTCCCGTAGCGATCATTGTCGCGGGCCAGGGAAACCAGCGACGCGGCGGCGTCGGAGGCGTCGTCGAGGGAGCCGGTGAAGAGGATGGCAATCTGTTCCCATATTAGGCAGAGAATGGGCTCGTTGGCGGCGATGGGAGGGAGGCCGAGGTACTCGTCGGCGCGGTCGTCGGCGGAGGCGGAGACGCGGAGGAGCCACGACACGTCCCCGATGGAATTCTCCAAATGGGATTGCATTTTCCGGAAGGCGGCGGCGGGGATGAGGGTGAAAACGCGCTTCACCACGCCGTGCCCGCGGCACTTGAGGACCAACGCCAGAGCCTTCTCCAGAACCTGCTCCGTGTCGTCGATGATCCGCCGCGTGGGGCGCTCGTACAGGTCGTTGCTAGCACGCGCCGCCTGGCGTAGCAGCGCCGCCAGCTTCTCCGTCTTGGACTTTATGTCAGCGCACTCTTGCTTGAACGAACTAGCCTCGTCAGCGGTCTTGGTCACCTGGTCCGCCAACTGGATCGGCTTCGCCAAGATCTGCTTCACTAAATCCGCCATTAAAGGCCCCAGAGCAAAACCCAGAAACAAAAAAAAAAAAACCCCAACTTTTCACCAATTCAAACCCAGAATCGGTTCTTGAGTATTTCAAGAATCAGAAAGAAGTGAAAGAAAAAGAGAAAATTGGAAATGGGTTTGTGTCTGATCCTTGAAATGGAGGAAAGATTAGAGAGGTTAGGCAATGGAGTTGTTCAGAGGTGACTTTGAAGTTTGAAGAAGACGGGGTTTACAAGGTCAAAGGCGTGTTTTTCTTCTTCATTTTATAAGCCTTACTCGTAGCTGTTAATATACCTTCTGTGCGTCCTTAATTGAATAATTATTCAATTAGGTGCGTCCTTTTTTGATTATTAAATTTAGTTATATCACAATTCCACTGTTGATTTTTTGAAGATATTTTTATGAGATACAAAGATTTTTTTTTTTTTTTTGTATAAAAAAAACTCAGAAATTTATGTTTAAATAACTAAATTTAATGAAGGAATTTCATTTGGTCCCCCGCTAGGTTCCCAATATTAGCAACTCAATGCATTAATATAAATTGTTTTTTTCTTTTTAATTTTATGTGCGGATGTGTATTGAGTAAACTATGTTTTTGTTCCTGCAAATTATATGAAATGGGTAAACTCTGCTCTTACATAATAGCTCGCAAATCACACAAGGTGTGTGTTAGGGAAACACCGTGCTTGTGTAACAACCCACAAATGACACATGAAAAGTAAATTGCATTAAAAATATCATGTGCAACGAACTTGACGAAGAAGATGTTGACAAGAATCAAAGTCGTGACCTTTAGGTATAAGAGTCATACTCTGGCAACTCAACCACTCCTTTAATTTCTTAAGAGTATCTTTGCACTTGTCATGAGTGTCAAATGGAAGCTGACATGTTTATTTCACAATATTAAAAAAAAAAAAAGTGTGGATGTATTGTAAGGATGGCAAAATCTAAAACCATCAATCTCCTTAAGCTTATTTTAAAAAAAAAAAGTTAAATGTTATTTTTAGTATTATTATATTATATTTATAAAATAGATACTACCTTGTAATAGAGTCAATATATAATACTCAAAAAAATATTATATTTTGATAACGAATTGGAATTATTGAAATACATTTTTTTTAAAAAAAAAAGGAATAGATTAACAAAATAATGATATAGTAGTAAAATCTACTTTTATAAAGTGTGTATTATTATTATTATTATTATTATTATTATTATTATTATTATTATTATTTTGAAGTTCATAGTTCATATGGGGGGACACCCCAATCTATGCAACTATAGCTTTTCATTACTTTTCAAAGCACTAGAATAGCATAAATTCTCGTTGGCGCTTGATGGATTTTTTACAAGCTAACCTTGTCATATGATTTTGTTCCCGATAAACATGCATAATCTCAATGTCCCAATCTCGTTCATACCACCTCCCTGCATTCGCCCAACGCATTGGCCAGGGGTCTTTGTCCTTCAGCATATGATGTAGGATTGTTGTTCTCAAGTGTGGGAGTATTTTAAGGATACAAATAACGCAATTTGTAATGAGTAGTTGTGTGGTAATGTGGTATACATCATTTATGTAGTAGCACAAATTTTAATTAATATGATTCATATGAAATATTGTTTATTTTTATTATATGAAATAAGCTATAAAAATAGAATAGGGAGTGGAATTGTATTAAAAAAAAAATGTGAGGCACAGGGACCTTGGTTGAAATTTAATGGACAATAAAGTGATGAAATATGTTTAGCTTTTAGACCGCAAGAATATGTGACTAAGAATAATTTTCTTCTGTGCGCAATATCTCTTTTTATTTATGATGACAATAACTTTCAATTGTCAGTTAATTCCACTATTATATTGAATGTTATTTTTTTACTCTGTATTTATTAATATATTATTTAAAATTAAATAAATATATAATACTTTTAAAAATGAAACATTTAGTATATTAAAAATGAACGTTTATTAGTGATTAATAGTATAATTTGTCATCAAATCATAGCAGGGTATTCCAATGAGGTGGGTTGAACATGACCACACATTACCCTTCTATTGCCTCTTAATGTTTGCCATAAATATAAATATTTACTTAAACAAGTTTTAGATTAAGATTATTGCTTTGGATTTTTGTCAAGTCACTTAGGGTGGTGTATTCAATCATGACTTTTGTAGAGTTTTAAAAACTTTTAAAATGATAGATTTTAATAAACTTTGATTGACTTTTATAGAGTCGTTCAAAATTTTTTAAAACTTTATAAGACTCTATAAAAGTCTATATAAAAAACATTCATAGACTTTTATCAACTTCTTATTTTAAAAAGTCTACAAAAGTCATTGAAATTCTAAATTGAATACATCCTTACAAACTTTCAATGATTTTGATTCTTATCATTTATAATTTTCTTACAAAACGTTTATAATATATCATAAAATTCTTCGTAGTAACCTGTTGTTAAAAAAAAAAAAAAGAAAAAATATATATTATGAATATAAACATAAAAAGAATATATAAGAATCAAAATATATTAGTAGTTATATGAATATTATGAAACATATACTAAAATTTGACGATGAAAAATTTGCTGTGTTCATGTATTTAGGGAGAATTAGAGAAAGTTATGGATAAAAAATTCATAGAAAAAAAAATCAATATAAACAAGCAATAATGAAGTAAAATAATATTATTTTGAATTTTTAGAGAAAGATTGTAAAGTTTAGGAGAGAGAAAAATTGGTAGAGTTTAGGTATGAGGAAAATATAGGATAATGAGAAGAATTTTTTTTTATTATTAAATTTAGATAGTTTTATAAAGTTTAAATATGGAGAAAAAATAGAGTTTAAATAGAGAGAGAAAACATTCAAAGTTGTTAGAAAGAAAATTTTGAAATCTTGGGGTTGATGGTCGGATTTCAACTATTTATATTTGAGAAGAAAAAGTCTACAAAAGTCCTAAAATTAAAAAGTCTACAAAAGTTCATAACTTTTTGAATACCACATGACTTTTAAAGACTCTCTAAAAGTCTTAATCGAATACCACATAACTTTTAAAGACTCTTCAAAAATCGTGATTGAATACCGCCTGACTTTTAAAGACTCTCTAAAAGTGTGAATTGAATACCTCCAAACTTTTAAAGTTCATAAAAGTCTTTAAAACTCAATGAGAGTCATGATTGAATACACCCCCTTAGCAAGGGTAGAGGAGAAGAAGAAGAAGAAGAAAAGTAAGGTGATCGCAAGTTAGTAACCAACCAACTCTTCCATCGCGTGTTGGTATGGATAACACACACCAATTTTGTTTTCTTAAAAAAAAAAAAGAACTTTTTTCTCGAGTTTTTTTTTTTCTAGAAAACTCGAGGGAAAAAAATTGAATTGACCAGGACTATGTGGTCTAATGGTATCCGGGGTGGACTTCCAAGTGGAAGGTTGTGATTTCGAGCCTCAGTGGAGGCGTTATTGGCTCTTTGTGTTTCAGTAGGTTGAGAAAGTATATGAACAGATACTACAATGTAATAGAGCTAGTAGCATTCAAAAAAAAAAAATTAGTTCTTTTCTTTTCTTTTCTTTCCTCGCCTTTTTTATAAGCCATGTTACACCCTATTTCCTCCGCACAAGCAAAAAAATTCAAAAAATAATAAAAATAAATCCTCGATGAGGATAATATAATTTCAGCATAACAATTTGTAATTGGTGACCTTGATTTCACAAGGGCCTTTGCATAGGATAATTTAGGGTGTGTTTGGTTTCAAACATTGGAATCATAAAGATAATGACATAATACGGATCAAATACTTGGTAACAGTAATGAGTTTAAATAAAACGAGTCACTTGGTTTGTTAGTAAATAAGAATTGAAATAAAAATAAATAAATCATTAAAATTAAAATATGTGTGTGTTAAAATTTCATATTTAATGCATTTACAATGACCTTTTATTGTTTTTTCTCTATTTCTTCCTTTTTTTTTTTTTATGAAATGCTCTATTTCTTCCATTGTTCAAAAGTAAATGAGTAAAGAATAATGAGATTTGTAATTACTAAAAGATTTGATCTCAATAATAGGATAATAAAAGTAAGCAAACAAATATGGTAATGAGTATCAAATATGGTAATATGTAAAAGGAGTTAATTCTCAAAATGGTCCTCCGACCATGACTTTTTCTCAAACTGGTTCCTTGACTTTTAATTGCACCCAAAGTGGTCCTTCGACTATTGAATTTTAAGCCAAAATGGTCATCCGTTAGTTTTGGTGTTAAGTGGGTGTTAAAATGAGGAGTAAAATTGGTAATTCAGGGTTTTCACTATAGTCAGAGGACTACTTTGTATGCAATTAAAAGTCAAATGATCAATTTGAGAAAAGGCCATAGTCGGATGATCATTTTGAGAATTTTCTCTTTATAGTTCAAACATGATTTTGTACTCATTTTGATTAAAAGGGGTTGATCTTGTACTTATTTTCATTTTCTAAATAAACAATCTTTTTACTTTAATTGTTAGCTAAAAAAATATTTTTTAAAAAATAACTTAGAATAATAATTTTGATTATTAACCTAGTACTTATATATAGTTGTACAAACTAACATTAACTTTCAATTAACTCTTTATTATTCGGGAATGCTTGTATTATGTATTTGGATTTTGATTTTCTATGATCATAAATATGCATACATATAATGACAAAACTATTGTGAAAAATTACAACAAATGGACAACAGACATAAACCATTGCTTACTAAAAAAAAAAAAAAAAAAAAAAGACTACAGTTAAATACAAACAGATAAGAAAGATAATAAAAAAAAATCATTGTTCATTACTAAAAGACAATATTGACTTATATGGGCAAAACTAAAAATGTCGATCAGTGGAGGCGAAAATTTTGAAAAAAAAAAACTTCAAAACGTGATAGAAAATGAAAATAAGTACAAGATCAACCCCTTTTAATCAAAATGAGTACAAAATTATGTTTGAACTATAAAGAAAAAATTCTCAAAATGGTCCCCTAACTATGACCTATTCTCAAATTGATCCTTTGACTTTTAATTGCACCCAAAGTAATCTTTTGACTATAGTAAAAATCTTGAATTACCAAATTTACCCCTCATTTTAACACCCACTTAAAATCAAAACTAACGGAGGACCATTTTAACTTAAAATTCAATAGTCGGAGGACCACTTTGAGTGCAATTAAAAGTCAAGGAACCCATTTGAGAAAAGGCCATAGAGGACCATTTTGGGAACTAACTCTATGT